AAAAAAAAAAAAAAAAAAAAAAAAAAAAAAAAAAAAAAAAAAAAAAAAAAAAAAAAAAGAAATTGGTATATATATTATGATATATCCATGAAACTATTTACAACCAAATAAACTTTTTACGCATTAAATTAAGGTAATTGACGTGATTTTATTCGATTGAAAAAATAAGAAATCTTAAATATACCCAAAAAGCTGGAAACAGATGGGACTGTACGTTCGACAATGTGGGGTATATTTAAGAAAATACAGCTCACCCGCTTTATCCTTCTCTCTCGGCGCAGGCACGCATTAGCGTACAAGATAATGGAGTTACGTAGCGTTGTTTCAATACGAGTAGAGTATATAGGTGCTACTAATAAGGTGGGCGTTGAATTAACGCGCGTGAAGGGCATCGATCTCCGCGCGCCGTGTTTGCCGGCAAGAGGCCGGCGCGCGTTTAAATACAATTGCTTTTATACTCAAGTCTGCGCACAGTGCGTTATATCTCTCTCGCGTGCATTTGCGTAATTAATACACGGAGCGAGCAGTGCTATGTGCGCTTGCGCGTATAGTACTTATAAATAAAGAGACCAATGTTTGTCTATTTATATACAAATAATGTATAGTTTATCACTCCGCGTGGCGTGGAGGCTAATTGGTTGCCATTTTTCGCAAGGAAGGGAGTAATTAATGTTCCGAAGGCTCGCTTCTACAGAGTGATTACAAGCGTGGGAATCGTGGGGTTCGTCTGATTTACAAAAATGTCAAACGATCTTACTTTGTGACTCGTTTCTATTGTTGGGGAATCGCATGATTATCCGTCATTTGTTTCGGAGGATGCTCGTGCTTTTCGACCGAAAAATCATTATTTTCGCATCCCTCGCAACTGATGATACAATATTTCTTAGAGTGCAAACCAAATCGATACGAATGGAGTACCTGATTGAACTTATTTTACCCTAAACACAAATGAAACTCCATACATGCATCGGACACAATAAGCATAAGATCCAAGCAGTATTTTTAGCATCGGTTCAATAACTTTTGTCGTTTGCCGCGGCCTGAGTTGAATCCATTGTCGTGCACATTTGTCAGCAAACCAGCTGGCGACACTTAACAAATTAATACATCAGCCCTGGCATGAAAAACACACTTTGTCCACACATCGATCACTTCTTATCTATGTTATAGATGAGACATCATCGAAACATCGAAAAAAGTCGACGCTGGGAAATTTTAATAGTGGAATGGAAAAAAAAAAAAAAAAAAAAAAAAAAAAAAAAAAAAGGTTTCTGCAACCAACATACACGTAGACGTATAAAAACAAAGTGGACAATGAAAATCAGCGCTACCTATTCAATGCGAACGCGCACATCTAATTTCTCAATAAAAATAAACCACATATACTCTTGCGCAAGCCAAACGACTACTTAAGCGACGACGTCGAAGACGCCTGTGACGGCGCGCATTTACATTCATGCAGCTCCATTATACCACAGGTGTATATATGTATCATACATGCGTGGTATATGTATACCATCTTGGGGCCGATGCACCAACCGCTTGAGCATTGCATCTCGAATGCAAAGTACTGTGGATGGAATACCACTCGATCGTTACGTACACACACATGCTATCGTTGTAAGTATGCGCTTAACCATCGCTGCACGCGCGCGAGCTTTTTATTTTTCGCACCGGCACCACCACGCTTGTTCTTTCCGGTGGTGCTCGCACTCGCGCGAACCAAAGAGAGAAACGATACTGGTGCAGGATGTGGATAATAGAGGATATGCTCGATGGAAAAAAAAAATCAACCTCAGGACTCCTCCTCGTCACCCTTTGGGGAAAACTATACATGAGGACGTCGTTTCGTTGTGTCTTTGTTATTGTGAGTATATACTTATACGCTGGATAATGACACTCCTTGAAAACGATTGCTTTTTTTATTATTATTTCATCGGTAAAAGGGCTGATCGGGTTTGACCTTTAGAAAGCCGCGTTATTGTGCATCAGGTGTGCTTGAGAGAGAGAGACTCAAAAGTAGGCGCAATGGTAAGTGTCGATTTGAAAAATGAATACACTTTAGAAATCGATGGGCCGAGACTTATGGCCGCTTTCCTCTGCTGTTATTTTCAGCAAACGTTTTCAACACGTGTTTCGGCATTGTTCACCGTACCTGCACCGTGTATATACATACAATCGAAACACAAACTTTCTAAGTTTACTTATCTCCGTACGTCGATTTTTGACACAGTACTTACTGTATACGTTGCAGTTCACCTCGTCATTCGGTGTGTCATTTATTATCATCCGATGATGAAAAAAAGGTTTTTACGTGAGTCACAGTGAACAAGGGGGCAGGTTTGAACGGAAGGAGTGAAATGAAATAATCAATCTCATCAAGAGGGTTCGGTGAGATAAATATATGGTCATATGTTGAGTCTCCGCTATCTCATACCTATATGGTACAAGCGTTTTGTTAATAGGATATGCGTGTATACAATTGTTCTTCCTCCTTGTTTCGCGTACATGATTTTTTTTTTTTTTTTTTTTATCTTACTGATAAAGGAAATATATGGAATGAATTTTAGGTCGGAAGTCTGGTGAACTTTGTCTTTCACAACGTGAGGATTTATTTCATTTCCATCACCCTAACTTTGAAAAATCTCGCGTATACTTTCATGTGAGTAATTTTAAAAAAGTGGAAGTGTGTATGTAGCCAGTACAATGATACCAATACTTCGTTGCGCTCAGTATAGGTGTAGGAACCGCGTAACGTGAAAAATCGTCGTTCTTACCGATGTTTCGATCGACGATAAATACGCGTTTTCTAAACTTGTTCGAGGATACAGACAGATACGAGGATTCGGTAAGTGATATACTGCGTGCGTTAAGTATATACACGACTCAAAACTTTAATGAAAAAAAAAAAAAGAAACTCCCCTTTTACTCGCTTGATGTGCGCAAATAAATAATAACACATTTAAATAAGTTTCCCATGCTGTAATTCTATATCTGTGCTACAGAAGTACTGTTGCAGCTGCTAATGGTGTAATTTTTCACCTCGGATTATATATATACCTACAAGATTTCACTCCACGGAACTGTATAACCTTAACAGCTTGTACGTATGTGTGTGTACAGATCCAGGAGTTTTAGTTCCAGTCGCATAAGTTATACTCTGCATGAAGATCATTATCGCGTAGCTTATAATTGCCTGGATCATCTATAGAAGCGCGAGAGCCGGAAAATTACTTTGTCCATTCCACGATTCTAGCTTATTTTTTTTGTTCATTTAATGCGCAAACTCGGCAAATCATACCTGTATACCGATCAACCTTTTTTTTTTTTTAATTTTTTTTTTTTTTTCAAAGCATCACGTGGATTTTTTGCACCAATATACAATTACACGTTTCGAGATAATATAGCCTTCATCGACCCCCCATTAGAGATCCAATCGATCAATCAGTTGACTTTTAATTTTAAAAAAAGCAGCCTTGCCTCCCTCAAATGGATGCCCATTAAAACGCCTCGATGCACTCATTGGACATATTTCCATACGTTACGTAAAAAAAAAAACACACACACAGCAACAAGTGTAGACACGATACAAAACCTCCAACACAATTAAAACCGATAAATATACCGAAAAAAAAAGTTGGCCTATACCTCGAATTCAATTAGCCGCAGTACGAGCGGAGAGCCACGCAAGAGATGAAAAAAAAAGTATACACAGATAACGAGGATCACCGTTATAATGACGCTATACATGCTGCTACCCGTGTTCCTCGGAGCAGCGAAACACAATACATCCCGCGGAAGAAAAGCTGCAGTCCACTTAGGGACCAATTAGCGTATACCGTATTACATGCACACACACATGTATAGGTATACCTCACGGCTATATGCACGGCAAAAGAGAGAGGGTATATTAGGGCGCAGACATCGGCAGGGGGCCGAGGTTTAATTTAACGAGAAGACGACGCTCGTGAGGCACCGATCGTGGCGAAACGCGAATTTTTCCGAATAGCATTAAAGCCACACTGCGACACGTGTACGCACGAGTACCCAATACGTTGCACAAAAGACTCGCCAGCCAGGCATACACATCAACAGGGAAGCACCTGTGCACTAAACATGTACATATATATATATATGCCTGATAATAAACGCTGTAATACCCTTTCACCGTGAGACTTTCTCTCTGTCCTCCCAATCTCTTCCTTTCGGTCTCGAGGCAAAAAAGAAAAAAGAAAAAAAAGGCTCATCGGCATGTCGATCGGTAATACCGGCTAATCGACGAACAAATGGCGCACACGACTACCGATGAACGACCGATCGTATGTAGTATAGGAACGCGTGGATACATTTACAGACCTCCTCCTCCTCCTCCTCCTCCTCTTGGCGTGTATCTGCATGCGCGAGGATGTGGGCGCACGCGGCTCCTCCGGGGATTTCTTATCGATTCACGCGTGTCGATTTGATGATATACACGGGCCTGTCTTGATGGGCCCTCGACTCAGTGCGCTGGGTGGTCGTAACGGAGTTACATTGTTGGGGGAATCATAATTAACGGCCGAGCCGAATTGTATCCCGATTTCTTGCCGATCAACGAGTGTGTATAAATTACGCATTGGCGTTTGCTCGTCCCATCGTTTTTACATATTTTTTTTTTTCTTCTTTTTTCCTTCGAATTGTATATTTTAATGCGCCGTAAATTTTTATGACGGGCGAGCGAAAACGACTTGGGGGTTTTGCAACTTATTCATTCGACGTCGACGACATTTGTGAGCGATAAGCATGTGGACGAATTTGTAATACATCAAGCCTTGATATCTCGAGCCTCACTTTGCCATCATATGATTATTCATGCGAGAGTCCTGGGCACGTTGATATTCGTTCTAAGCTATTTTCTGGCTATATACACGTTAATTTATCACCGAGTGGTTTCACAACATCTGACTTTGTGAATTTTAGGGAAATTCGTTTCGGTTCATTAAGGATTAATGTACTACTCTGGGATGGACTTTATCGGACGATAATGACGATGGCGATTGATTTTTTTCATCAGTAAGCCATGAAAATCAACGAGTCTCCGCTACTATAATTACTACTGCTAACGATGAATACAAATTAATGTCCAAACACCATTGTTTAAAAAAGAAGGAAAAAGAGAAAAAAGCCTTTCGTACCCATGGACAAAATACACATCGATCAAACAATCGAGGCCAATCGTTGACAAAAATAATCAATACACCCGACAACAATTTCTATCCGCGCACGAGGGAGAAAATCTCCGGCTTCGCACTCGATAAATCAAGGCACCTCTATATCTTATACATGCGAATATACATATACACCTGCGTATATCTATTTTCAGCTCGCGTGTGAAAGAGAAACGCCTAATCGATCCATCGGTACACGCGTACACAGGTATATATATATACCCGAGACGCCAGAAGCCAAACATCTTCTCCGATCCTTTTTTTTTTTTTTTTTTTTTTTTTTTTTTTTTTCCTTCAAGACGGCGGGCGAGGGAGATGAAAAACGAAAAAATAAAGTACCTCGGAAGAGAGAGGAAGAAAGAACCGCGAATGGGAGGGGGATCCGTGCGCGAGTATACACGCGTGGATTACCTGGGGCGGGCAACCCGATGGAACTTCCAGGTGCCGAGCGTGTCGGCGCTGTAATAATCGTCGCAGCCGCCGAGGGAGCACAGGAGGCCCCTGCTGCTGCGAGCCCACTGCCAGCCCATCAGCTCACCTCCCGGCTTTTTGCCGCGCAACGACTCGGCTCGCTGCTGTTGCGGCTGCCGTGCCTTTTTCACGAAATTATCCCTATTTTGCTGCTGCTGATGCCGGGGTAGGGGCGGAGGCGACGCCGTGGGCCACGACATTCCGTTTGGCTTGCGCTCCACGAGCTCCAGCATCTTCTCCTCTGACTCTTTTTTCTCTTCCGTCTTCTCTCCGAATACAATGGGACAAAAAGAAGGCGATGATGATTTGCTTTGGAGAATCGGGGCTCGTCTCCGCTGGGGTTTAACACTTCACTTTTCTTCGAGTTACGATCACTATATACACGCCCGCTCGTTTAGCCTTGGCTTCGTTGTTTCGTTCGTCAATGTGTTTTACACCTCCCTGCCGGCACAGCCACGCGAAAGATGAGACGTTGCGAACTGCAATTGATCGCCGCGTTTTGGGTTTTTTATTTGATGCTAATCAATGACAATCGACACGCGAAATTGATAAAAACGTATACATAGGGTGGTGGTGGTGGTGTAAATCATTTAATTCGCATCCCTCGAACGATCATCTTGATCCATTGAAAAACTACCGTGTGAGAGTTTGAAAGAGCCCAGGATCCCCGGGTAAAAAGTTCCGAGGGAAGGAGGGGTAGGAAAGCTCCTCTTGCGAGGCTTCGCGGAAGAGCCGTCGCGATGGGCCTCTCGATTCACCCGAGGTTAAATTAGCTGCAATCTTCTCGTGCAGTGGGTGAAGGTACACGGTGAGAGAGAAAGAAAGAAAGAAACGGCGCACTTTCATCAGTTTCAGCTTAAAAGCTCAGCTGCCGGAGAAGGGGAGATTGGCGCTCTTTTCGGCGCCGAGATGCTGCCGCGCGATGCGATTCGTGCGAATGAGAGGAAGCTCCTTTATATTATACGGGCGTGCGTGCGCGGGGGCTTTTTTTTGCGGGAGCGGATTTCGATGGGCGCCGCTTTGGACCGAACCTTAAACGCCGTTGCAGCTCAATGGCACTTTTTTTTTTTTTGTACCAATAGATTTTCGGAAAATAAAGTGTGAAATTGATTAAAAAAAAACACATCAAAGTTAATTATCTGTCGTGCTAATTTTGTGCAACAGTACAAATTCACGGCTGCACTGTCAAAGGCATCGAGGTGAGTTCACTCACCCTTCCGTCATCTGCGTAAATGCACTGTGGACGACTTCGTGGGAAAAAAAAAACCAGAATGACGCGAACGAGTGTCGATAAAACACTTGCTTCGCGTACGTGCAACGAAAAAACGAGTCCCGGTCGAGTAGCCGCGATCATTCGACTCTTCTTCGCCCATTCCAGCCGAATCATCGCGCGAAAGAGCCAACTCCGTGAAAGCAAATTTTCCCTGATTCGTCACGGCTGGATCGTAAAGCACTGCGATTGTCATTCAAAGCGCGAGCCTCGAAATTACGACGGATGGAAGGGAAAAAAAAAAAAAAAAAAAAAGAGGTCCGGCGCACGCACAACGCCTCGCGTTCATTAAACCACGAGCCGCATCGACACACGGACTCGAACAACAAACGCGCGTATTCTCCGATCGGTAAGACCCGATGCGAGTCCTTTTCTCGGGCGTAAATCTCTCGCGCTGTGCTGCATAAACGTCGCTACGTACGTGCATGTAAATCGAGAATGTATATAGGTGAGTACACCGCGGTTGCAGCGGGTACAGAAAGACAGCCGAAGGGAATCGAGAGACGCTTGGGAGCGATCTGAATTTGAAATGGGTGAATAGTGAATTTTTTTTTTTTTTTTTTTTTTTTTTTTTTTTTTTTT